ATAAAGAACATTGCACACAACATGGGGCTCGAACCCATGACCCTGAGATTAAAAGTCTCATTCTCTACCGACTGAGCAAGCCCAGCTCCTGTGCACAGGGATCCATCCAGTGATTTGGCTTTCCACCTCAAGGTTTTCTTTTAATGCTTATCCTCATCTATGCAGAGATCTTATAGTTTCTGTTGGCTTTATAATGTGATTTGTTAAATGTATTATGAATTGCATTATTTTAATTGCTGTGTGTATTTTGTGCACCACCGAGAAAGCATATGGCTAAGGCGGATTATGCAAATCAAATGAAAAAAACAAACAGCTGTATACCCCAAATCTATTCTAGTGATATAGCAGTTAGCAGCCCCCACCGGGGAATTTTGAGGGAACAATCATCTGTTTTGGGTTTGTTTGTTTGTTTCTTTACAATACATTAAAGCAAGATATACACCTTAAAACTGAAGGATGGTGCAAAATAAACCAGATTAACTCATGCAGTAGGCTAAAATAAAACCAAAGAATCTACGGAGAATGGAAAGGAAGCTAAACAGTCCTCTTCATTCCCTCGCTAGCTGAGTTTCGGCTTTGCCACACATGTGCTGAATGAGAAAACCCAGTTCCCTTTCGTCTACCGGATGGCCCCAGGGGAGGAAAGCCAGTATCCCGGGATTATTCAGTTGCTCTTGTATTTTGGCTGGGCATGGATTGGGCTCATCACACCCAACACTGACAACGGGGAGAGCTTCATCAAGGCCATGGCACCCTTGATGATCAGCCATGGAATTTGCATTGCCTTTTCAGAAAGACTGCCTAGAAATCTATTGCACCAATTGTGGCCCAATATATTTTATGTCACGTGGATAAAAGTAACAGTCATCGTTTTCTATTCAGATTCTCACAGTGGTTTTTACCCAATCATGCTTCTACAAAGGATGCCTGAAGGGAAGAAAACTGGGGCAAAACTCTGGATCACAACAAAATTTCAGGACATCAACATGATCTTGTCTGATAATCCTTCTTTCTTTCCATTCATTCATGGTTCATTGTCCTTCATAACGAAGAGCCCAAAGAGGACCCAATACGACTTCTATGAACCATATTCCTCTGCTACGAAAAACTTTTGGGAGAAAGCTTTGCATTGTTCCTATGCAACGAATGCGTTGGCTGGGAAAAGCTGGGTGAGATGTAGAGAGAAGGAGAACCTGGAGAGGCTGCCCCAGGAGGAGGTGGAGAGGGCCCTGTCCCAGGACAGCTTCCGGACCTACAGCAGTGCCCAAGCTGTGGCCAGGGCCCTGCATACTGTGTGCTCGTTCCGATCCAGGTGGTGGTGGATGGTGGGCAGAGGAGGCAGGCAGCAAGGCCAAACGCTGCAGCCATGGCAGGTATGCCCTTTCCCTTGGCATCACCTCTCTGAATGACATAAGATTCAGGAAGAATCTTCAGCGCACCATCATGCCCAGTCTGTATTGGTGTCATTGGCATAGCTGATTTTGTTCCTCAAAGCTGGACACAAGCTTTTTTTCCCATGCTTGCTGATCCACTCCCCTCCCCTGATCTCCTGGGAAGTATTTGGTAGTAAGTGAATTTCAGACACTCAAAAGAGTCTCAACAAATATGTCTCAACACACATATTTGTGTGTGTGTGTGATATCCTGCATTTGTGCTGAAACTATTTTGTTTCTTGTTCATCTTCGGTCATTCTAGCTCCATGCTGTTTTAAAAGCTGTCCAGCTGCCTAATGCATCTGTGAACGGCCTGCCTTGGGGTGAGACTGGGGAGCAGGATGCTGAGCTGAGCATCGTGAACTGGGTGCTGTTTCCCAATTTGACTCGTGGCAGAGTGAGAGTTGGGGATGTACAGCAAGCGGCATCCTCTGTTGTGAAACTCTCCGTGAACCTGGAAGCTGTTGTGTGGCCCGGGCATTTCAACGGGGTAGGAGCAACAAGTGTTTGCATGTTTTAGACCTGAGCATTCTCTCAAGCTAGTCACATTTACAGTAATGTGCATGAAACATTTTAGTGGGAACTCAACTGGACATAGATGGGTGTGCCACTGAAATAATGGAACTTGTTGAGTAAACATCAACAGGATCCCAGCTAAGAAATTCTCTCAGCACTGCAGGCTGGGAAATGCTGAGTTCCTGCAAGCCGTGTGGGGTTTTCCTTTTGTTTCCTCACAGCACAAGAAGTTGCATGGAGCTAAACTCACCTGCCACCCCATCTGCAATCATTCAAAGACAATGTGCTTGCTAAACACCAAGTGTAGATAAAAGTAGAGGGTGGCATCCTTAGCAGTTATATGTAAAGTCAAATATATAGCTTGTTTATTGGAATTATCAGGAGCAATACCTAATAGACAGACTTCAGGTTTTAATGTTAATGGTTAATGCAGCATTTCCTCAAGCTATTTCTGTATTTAAACCCAATATTTGTTTGCCTTATCAAATGTCCACCACAAGTGAGAAAAAGAACCAGGTTTGTGTTTACAATTCCAACATCTATTTGACGTATTTGGAAACTTTTTTGCTTATCTATTTGGCAATAGATACCTTCTGTAAAACTTTCTAAAGGTTTTCTTTATATGAAGATGCTAGAGTTATCTTAATTTTTCTGTACCACAGCTTTTGCCATTTCTGTAACTCAATATTATGTCCAGTTTTGTGCCCATGTTATCATAGTTTCTTTAACTAGTTCATCTACCATTTTCATATCCAAAAGAAAATTATACAACATTTTAATCATTTTTTCATCTGATTTTAAAATCATTTGATCAAATGCTATTAGTTTCAAATAAAAACCATACATTCTATGGTCTTAAGCATTTCTCAATTGTATTTGAATCTTATGCCATCAAGAGAGACCAATGCCGTGTCCCTGTAGTTCTTGATTCAGCTTCAATTTTCCATCATTTTCTAAAATATCATCATAGCGTCCTGTGGTTTTGTCTGCCATTTTGAACCCAT